ATTTACAGTTTTTATGGAAACCAACTTACTGTGATGGTGATTCTGCAAATTTCCTTTTTCGTGTCAATAAAGAAGTGTGTTAAAGCAAACGGCCAAGCAAAACAAAACCGACAAAGTAAAAGGAGCTAGTTGAGCTTTTTAACGAAAGCTCGGATTACGTTGCCATTAAGTTTGCGGATTAAGCTCTTTGCATAATTATTGGAATAAATAACGGAAGGGAGTAGGGTTGCCGGTAAGTATGTTTGGAATGGGAGTAAATTCAGTGAGGTGAGTATGCCGTTAAATATCAAGGTAGGTATTCGGGTAAGTATTCAGGGGACTATTCATAAATTCATTTATTTAAAATTTTATTTGTTATGTTATTCCATAATTCATTTGATTATAATATATTTTCTTAAACATATTACTTATAGGATGATGAGGTCATCCTCATCCATATCTTCAACATCTTGTTATATGCCGATGATGTAAAACTTTTTAAGCCATATACCTTATTCGACAAGAGATGTTTGTTACAAAGCGTTCTAGACAATTTCGCTTTTTGGTGTGATAACAACGTCATGCCTTTGAATGTTAAGGAGCACACCTAGTGTGACATTTAAAAAAAATCGATTTTTTTCATATTTCGAGAAAAATAACATATTAAATTTTTTAAATCGATATCTCAAATAGTTTTTGAGTTATAGCAATTTAAAGAGCAGCTGCTCGGCAGCTAGAAAGTCTTTTTGGCTACGAGACGTACCTGATCATTTTATCTTTAATCGCGTTTTTCTCGAAACAGCATTTTCCGAATTTGCTGCAGTGATTACTCAAAACAAATGATCCGATCACTATTGAATATTTTTTTACATTTGCTATATATAGTTCTCCGTACAATGACCTATCGATTTTTTTTCTGATCAAGTGTAAGACCATATGTTTTTCGCGAAGACTTTTTTTAATCTTCTTCTTATATAATAAATAACTGTAGTCTAGAGCAAGTGTTCTCTTTTGTTGATTTCGGGGTTATGATGGACTCTAAGCCACCTTTTTCGAGAGATGGTCAACAGAGTTTAAGGACCCTTTAGTAAATTAAAGTACTTTATACGACTTTGGTGAGGCCAATATTAGAATAAAGTTCACTGATATGGAATCCAAATTATAATGTTCATTCCGATAAATCGAAGTTTGTACAAAAACAATTTTTACTTTTTGCATTACGAAATTTCCGATGGAACTCTACGATAAATCTTCCTACCTACTCTCGCAAGTCGTAGAGAAATGTTAGGCGCATTTTTCGAAGTGAAACTTCTTAAGAGATCAATTTGTAGTTCATCGCTCTTATCTGAGTAAACGTTATTGTTCTAACTGGTGTATCTAAGTAGTTTAAGCCTTTACTATTAAAGTCACGTAAAACAAGTTATGAATAGAATAAATCTTTTCGCCGCTTGTGTCACAATTTAACTTTTCAGCACCTTCGATCTACCGGACTAAATTTTCAGCATAATTAAAATTACTCTTACTTCTCTTAACAATTAAATTTTAAAATTGCATAATTACTAGTTTTCAGCTGTAGAATATTTTATGTAGCTGATCAATTTTAAATCTCGACGCTTAACAAACGCTTTCCAATCATGACTCGGCATATTCTGTAAGTTATGCGGATATCACCACTTGTGTCGGTTAGGCGGGAGAAGAGCATTCGTTGGGCTTAGGACAAAAACACGACAGTAGGTGACCCTAATGCATTGCGTAACTACGGCCAAATATGTGTTAACTGAATGGTAATCATTAGAAACATTTGGCTGTAGCCTCAAAAGTGTAAATAAGAGAGCAGTAAAAATACTAAATGTGCATTTATGAGCGATACGTACACATATGCAATGAATTAACCACCCTTTCATTCAGGTCCTGCTCCACATGATCATTTCAACGGAGTGGATGTCCTCTTCTGTAACGGCTGTCTTCAATATTTTAATTAGTCGAAAACTTTTTTTTAATTAGTCAAAATTCTTATACCTTGTGCCATTAGAAATGAATACACAGATAATTAAAATGTAGTTATATGAAATAAGAACTATAACTTCTTATGCCAAAAACGTAAATATGTAAATTTTTATTATTTATTTTTTTAAAAGAGAAACAAAAACTTAAAAATGTTTAAAGAAAATTAATGAATATACCCTATAGGTAACGAATCGGGGAGCAAAGAAATTTCTTTTCAATAACTTATGGGTAACAAATCGGGTAGCATAGACATCTTACGATAACAGAGCGGGTAGCAAAGGTATGCCCTTCTAATAACTTTCCGTGTAATAAAGACATCTGTTTTTAATAGCTCTCCGGGTAACAAATGCAATTGTTTTAAATAACTCACCGTCTACAGATATGTCAACAATCAATTATTTTGTTTTTAACTTTGAACTGATGCTGATTTTCAATTGAATAAACGCCGTAAATTTGGGACTTGAATTAGGATTCATACTGCAATATATACATATACTCGTATGTCCATGCAAACATATGTATATGCCTAATATTACAGATAATGACGAAGCCGTTGACATTGACAAAAATGATAGTGTCTTCCTTTACACACTCATTGCTGGTCTACAGGCATATTCTCACTGTTACCGGTAAAGTAAATTTTGTTACTTTTTTTTAACACCCGAAATTGAATTTGGTATTCTGGCGAACTGGTTACAATTTTTGGAAAAAACTTGGGCAACACTGCTTTTTTCGTCCTTGTCAAATTACATTTGACAGTTTGTATAGTAAAAAATAATAATAAAAAAGAACCATTTTTTCTCGCAAACTTCTTGGTATACGCCTTTTCACACTTTTTTCCTCATCTTAATTGAATTGCAGGCCTAAGATATGCCTAACCATTTTGGGATTTTTTTTTCTAAGTAGGATATTGTAACACCACACCGTGAAGTTGGTGGTGGTTACAACGAGATTAAGACATTCGTGGTTGGAAAATCGGGCAGAGCGCACACAAAAGTGTAAGTAGTTATAGTCTATTATATTTTATTACATATGTACATTTTGAGTTTTATATAATAAGGTTATAATTGTGATTTCAACTTCATATACATCATCGTCTCATTATTTGTCACCACACCATTGGATGGTTTTATTTTCAGCCAGAGATCAAGAAAATTCAATTGGCTAGAATTTTCTTTCACACTCATAGTGTTTTTAAGAAACAATAAAAAGAGCGAAGCGAACGAAAAATTCCGAGTGTACAATAGAGCGGAATAAAGAACGAATGAATGCAGAAGAAACAAATTTCAAAAAAAATTGGTGGAAGAAACTACCTCCGTGTGAACGTGAAGGACGACACTAAAAGGGAAATTACGATAACCAGCGAAAAAGGTAAGTCTAAACTTATCAGTTCGTTCTATTGAAGGTCACCAGCACCCCCACATTTTCCCGCTTGCGTTTTCTTTGGAAGTATATTGCTGTTACGAGGCATATCCTGAAAAAAAGTGTAATGCAGTTCACACCTCCAGGACTTTATTTTTTGACATTTTGGCAACACGGTGAAACCTGTTATAAGAAGCGACTACAATCCAAAAGCTCCTGCGACTGTCGGGTCTTTATACCGAAACGACTCAGAACCTTATGCGGTAAAAAATTTCCCTAACGCAAGATTCCCCAAAAAATATTTGGGGACTATTTTTGCAGTTGCTATAAAAACAACATTCAATGGTAGATGAAATGTCTGGAAAATCGAAGATGCGGTTTGTAACGATTTTATATTGGCAATGAATTCAATGTTTTTTGGAAAATTTTCAAACTTCTGAAAACTCGAAAAAGCACAGAAAATTCGGAAGTAGAGAAGTGACGAAGGGGTTAGCGGCAAACTTGCGAAGGAGAAATGGCGACTATGACGAAAAAAGGCTTTTTATAGTGTATAAAAGTATCACGTAGTTTAAAAAAAAAATCACTACACATTCTGGGTAAGCCTCGTATTACCCACTTTAAGAGATCTATTGACTAAAGACTCCATTAATGGATAGTGTTAATTTTAAAGCAAATTGTCATTGGAAGCCATTTGAATTTGGCTTCTTGCCTTATTTTTAGTCACTCCCAATGTCGGATACTGTAACGGCCAAATGCCATTTTGGTAAGTCCAAACAAATATTTCTTCCACCTATATCATCTTGATCACGTGTCATCAAGCCATTACTGAAGAAATTCAAACCAGAACTTACTACCACTGCTGGCGCACCATTCTGTCTTAATAAATGTATTGTATATTTAATACGTTTCACATTGGCTGTCCACAATGGACTCGTAAGCTACATAATAGATTTTAATCAAATTTGCACACCACGTTGGGTCCTAACTTGAAAAATAGGAAAGCCGTTATCTCATCTTATATTCGAAAAGTTATTTTATTGCAAGCTCTTTATTTATTATTTTACATTCACAATTATATGTTTACCAATCAGTAAATTTTATCACTAATTCGTATTTGAGCTCACTGTGACCCTGTAAGCCTTGTTACTAGCGAAATAGGAGTTAACAAACCATCAGCCGTTCGATTTGGTATTGTTAATTTGTGAAAAAAATAAAAAAACCAATATGTATAGACATACTTAACGTCTAGAACGAACTGAAGATGAAGAAAAAAGTGCGAGAGGTGGCACGTTAACAAATTTGCAAAAAAAAATTACCATTTCAGTTTGTCATTCAGTATTTTCACCTGAACAAAACAATTTGGTTAGAAATTATAAAAATGACACTATTAGAAAGTGGAGTAGATGTTTTTAAATCAAAAATTTTTTTAGAGAGAGAATATCATTGCTTTTTCCTTTGAGGTTTCTCTCAACAACATATTTCGTCGGGTCTTATCAGGATAAGGTTAGGAGCAACTGTCAAACTGCAATACGCCAACCTTCTGTTGCGCGATCCCTGCACTATATTTCAAAATCGATTGTCAAAGTAAAAGCCGAAAAAAATTACTTTCTAAAAACATATGAAATGCTAATATATATATGAATATTCTTCTTTTTACTTTACCATCTGGGAAAGGTAATTTGACATGGAAGAAAAAAGCAGTAATGCCAAACTTTTTTCAAACATTGTAACCAGTTTTCCAGAGTAACAAATTCAATTTCGGGTGTTTAAATAGTAACAAATTTTACTTTACCGGTAGCAGTGAGAATAGGTCTGATAGTGTTAAGTTTAGATCTAAGATAGATATGATAACGCCACGATGTGAAGTTGGTGGTGGCTAAAAATTTATTAAGTATGGCAATGCTATGGCCGATAATCCAGCCGTGATGATGAGCAAAAACCGACATTCGTGGCTGGAGAGTCGGGCACAGCGCACACGAAAGTGTAAGTAGTTATAATTTATTATATTTCAATACATATATCCATTTTGAATTTTATACTAATGTTATAATTGTAATTTGAAATAAAACATCCTAACAATATTCTCTTACACATCACCGTTAGTCTTATTTTCAGACGTCACTTTTAGTGAATTCATCATTTCACATTTCGTGAAGTCTTTGTTCAATATTTCGGGAAAATGAGCAGCGAGAGGAGACTGCATTTTGTTTTGAGTTTCATCACCTACAATCAACAGGAAGTTTACTTTTTGGTCCTTCCATGGAGTTGGCCACATCGCATAAAGCGCAATCAGCGGCAAATTTTTTAGTGAAGCGGGGCCTTTTCAGCACAAAGCAGTAACGTTTGAGTAGCGAAGCGCGACTTATTTATGCAGCAATCGATATATGCGGAAAGTTCGAGCAGTGATCCGGGGCTTTTTCAACATAAAGCGAAGCGGAGCCTACTTGAGTGGAGCGTCATAAGCATCAAAAGGCCAAACAAAGGCATCTATTGGGTGAGTGTACCTTGAGAAGTGTGAATTGTTTTTTTTTTTTTTGTTTTTTCTTTGTCAATGGTAAATACCTAGTTAAGGGCCAGGATAATAACGGAACTTCGGTTGCATTTTAAAGATAGTAAGAATTTCGTTAACAACAATTTTAGCGTTTTTTCGTTTTTCAGTAACTTATGGTCCGCAGTGTGGGATTAAGAACTCCAATCTAAGTTTTAAAACTTATATTTCAATTGAATATATTTTGATAAATATAGATTTGCAATGCAACAAAAATAAAAATGAAATTCGGGACAAGCTTATTGTGAGTGAACTTAAATACATTTTCATTGAAAATTATGTAACTTTACGACTTTTTTTTTTTTTTTAAATATACCATTCTGATCCACATGTTCACTGGGTGGCGAAGGTTGTAGCGATTTATTACATCAACACATATTTCATTTGAATTTCGAAGGTTTAGCTAATGATACCGACCACACGTTCAACGATGACTTGTGCACAACCATTCAACATCAAGCAGCAGAGGTGGTGGAGCAGCTCTCATTGGAGACAAAACTTAACCTGCTGATCCAGCAGATCAAGGAGCTGCGAGTGGTTGTTAGCAGCAACCTCTAGATCTCCTAACTACGTCGGTGTGGAAAGCATGAATGGGTCGGTGGCAGGAGTATTTAGTAATTTAAGTAGGACTTCGGCAGACAGAAGAGTAGGTCAAGGGCGTAGATTGTACGATCTTCCTGAATTCTATGGGCGTCCTGAAGACTGGCCCATGTTTAAGGAGGCTTTTGCTGTGACTACTGGAGAATATCGCTACGGTTAGTATGGCATGGTACGGCTGCAGAAGGCTGTTAAGGGCACAATAGCAGCGTACCACGAGTCATCGGCACCTTAGAAGATCGTTTTGGTAGACCAGAGCAACTGGAGAAAGGTCAAATAGCGAAAATACAAAGTGTAGCGTGAATATCTGAAAACTGAATTGAATAGGGTATACCCTATTGTCGATGCAGAAGCGTATTCACAGAAGTCAGCCTTATAAGAATCGCCACTTGTCGATCAATAGATGGAGCTATACCGGAATTGTTAATCGGGTTAGATAAAGCACATTTAGGAATTTTAAGAAAGACTCTTTAAGGACCCCAAAAACCGAGGCTTTTGGAGACCTCACAACACACATAAGCTTATCTAAAATATATCAATATTTATATATATATATATATATATATATATATATATATATATATATATATATATAGTTTAGTTTAGTATATATATATACGTAGTTTACTTAATATTATATAAATAAACCTGTTTACTTAAATTATAAAAATTAAAACATAGAGATGCGTTATATACATACGTTGAAGCCTATGAGCATGTTCGAACATGAATTTATTTGTATGCACATATAAACACCACCGGCAAACGTAGTGCGCCTGAGGGTTTCCTCCTCACGAACACTTATATATACTCCACTGAGGGTTATCACCTCACTGGAAAAGGACCTAGCTCGACAGAAGAGAAGACAGGATAGCCACGAGCACCGCCATAGTTGAGCATAAATCAAAGGAATACACGGCCTCAGAAACCACCTAAACCTAAACCAAACCATACTACAAGCAGGCAACCCAGCGGATAAGAAAGTGAGTGAGTTGCTGCAAAGTGAGTTGAAACAATTTGAGGAGATGTCAGGGCCGTCCAATGTCGCGACATATAAAATAATCGTGCGAGACGATTGACCAATAATGCAGAGGGACTTCTCCAAGAACCCAAAGATTGAAGAAGTCATCAACAAAGATATCGAGGAACTACTTGAGAAGAGCTACATCGAACCATCCCATGGTCCGCACAGGGCACCAATAGTATTGGCAGAGAAGAAAAACGGAAAGTGGAGACTCTGCGTCAACTACCACCAAGTGAATGCCAAATCCGTTCGAGAGGCTCGCAGCGGGAAGTGAGGGGAGGGTGTAGGGACCCCAAAATCTAAGGTTTTTGGAGACCTCCCAACACACATAAACTCATATAAAAATATGTTTGAATTTAANCACAGGGCACCAATAGTATTGGCAGAGAAGAAAAACGGAAAGTGGAGACTCTGCGTCAACTACCACCAAGTGAATGCCAAATCCGTTCGAGAGGCCTACCCGTAAGAAAAGCCAACCTCCGTATCAACCCCGAGAAGTGTGAGTTTTTTTTAAAAACGAACTGAAGTATTTAGGCCGCGTAGTCAGGGAGAAGGGCATCCATACGGACCCGGATAAGGTAGCTGCCATAAGAGAGCTCACACCCCCAACATATCAACGAGAGCTCAGACGATTTCTGGGAGTAGCATCATGGTATCGAAGATTCGTCCACAACTTTTCACGAATGTCGCATCCGCTCACATCAATGATGAAGAAGGGCAAAAAGTGGGAGTGGTCCGAGGAACAACAGTCAGCATTCGGAGCTCTGAAAGCCGCCCTCACACAAGCACCGGTATTGGCCTGTCCGGACTTCACAAAGAGGTATACGTTTAACACAAGAGTTAGAGTGTAGCGAACGAATAATAGCATATGAGAGCCGGAGACTAAATAAAGCCGAAGGGAACTACTCACCAAAGGAGAAGGAGTGTCTAGCCATAGTTCGGGCAATAAAGAAAATGTGGCCGTATCTAGAAGGGTATAACTTCACAGTAAATAACGACCACCTGGCGTTAAAGTGGCTCAACGCAATCGAGAGCCCCTCGGGTGGAATAGCGAGGTAGGTGCTAGAACTCCCACAATATTCGTTTGAGGTGCAATACAGGAAGGGGAAGCTGAACGTCGTAGCAGATAGCGCAACCACAAAAAGAACAGTTGGGCAAAATGTTATAGGAAGGGGAAAATGAGGACTGGGCATGGCTAAAAGAAAAGAAGGCGAAAGTGGAAGAATCTCCAGAAAAGTACTCGGACTATGTGATCGAAGGAGGCAGTTTATATAGGCGAATGACGACCCAAGTCGATGGTGAAGACGTTACTCCGTGGAAGTTATGCGTGCCAATGTCTCAAAGGCCACGAGTGTTAAGGGAAATACACGACGCCACGAGTGTTAAGGGAAATACGTAAATACGTCGTAAAGCCATAGTCCGAGCGGTGGCGCGATATTACTGGCCAGGAATGCTTCGCGACCTATCAAAGGCGATAGAAAGCTTTGCAGCCAAACTAGCTCCTCGATATAACGGCCTGTATCGCATAACCAATTACGTATCCCCGGCAATAGTAGAGTTGGACAAAACACACAAGGGTAAAAGAAGAACGGCACACCTGAGTGAACTAAAATCCTACCACGGTGAAAGGAAAAACCCCCCATAAACAAAAAGAACAGAGAAAAAAATTTAAATTTAACTTAAAGTACATAAAATGAAATAAAAGAGGTAAAACAAAAAAATTTAAGCTGAAAAAAAAGATAGTGAAAAAAAATAGAAAACAAAAACAATGCACAAAAAGAAAATTTATATGGACGCACCATAAGCATCGTATACTGTGTGAAGGTGGAAGCATTCGCCAATTGCGGAGTCATCGGTAAACAAATAAGAAAGAAGAGAAACTGAGAAAATATACATACATACAATTAAGTGAACATATATATATATATATGCAAATATACATACATGAAATTAAGTGAATGTATATATATATCTATGCAAATATACATACATGCAATTAAGTGAATATAGAAGTTAACACAACAGCTTATAATAATTCTTGCGAATTGGGCAATAGCCCGCACTAGCCTTCGGAAATATTATTGGAGTAATTGATTAAACAGCAGTTTAATCACATGCAGGTGCAACGTGACTTGGCGTCGACCATAGGTTTCATTTAGGCTTAAGAAATTAATATTGTTTAATCTTAAGTTTGCTGATAATAAATAAAGACACAGCGGACGCGAGTCCGCTTAATTTTAAAATGCCTTAATTTAATGTAAGACTTTGACTGGCGCCCAAGCAGGGCTTAAGTTCGTGCACCACGTATAGCCCTTTGGCCATAGATGTCAACGCGTCGTGAAAGTAATTTAGTAAAAGTGCTCGTAAAGCTAACGCGTAGTGAAAGTGAAAAGGCAAAAGTCGCCTGAGAAAAAACAGCCGTACTAGTCGTCCTAAACGACTTAAGCACACTTGCCGGTCCTGAACACATCAATCCAGCGTTGGATTCCGGTAGGAAAAGAACGCACACCTTCATTCGTGCGCATCGAGGGAGCCCAAGTAAGTAAGCAGTGAAAAGGATATTATTCATTTATAGACTAAGGATTTTAGAAAAAAGAAAAATGAAAAAAAAGGATTAAAAAGAAGAATATTAATATTTAAAGTTTTGTGGAAAATAAAAAGAGAAAATTAAAAAAAAGTAGAAAAGCTAAAGCTTAAATACAAAGGAAAAAGTTAATATTAAAAAAGTTAAAAAAAAAATAAGAGGGAAGAAAAAATTGTTAAAAAATTATTGAATTATAAGTTAAATACTTATAAAAAGGAGAAAGGAAAAATTTTTTTTTAAATATTCTAGAGCTAAAAAATTATATTATTACATATATTCTTATTATTACATATTATATATTCCATATATTATATATTTATAATAACTGACGGCTTGTAAAGCCTATAATTAATAAATCAAAGCTGCGACTCACCACCTTCGGGGGGACCCTCCAGCTTATAACACATAAAATTCTCTGTGACCCAAGGGACCTTCCAGAGTATACGAACACCTAACAGAAAAAGAAGATATTCTTAAATAATGGCTAACCCCAGCAATTTAATTCGACCTCCCGTGCTTAACGTCCACACCACGCTCACCACCCAATACTCCCATTAATACCACTAATGACATGACGATGGAGCGACTGACTCAAATGATTACTGGAGTCGTCAGCAATGCGCTTAAGACAGGCCGCTGCGAATCCGCATTCAAATTTTTCTGACATGACGTGCGTTCCGTTTATTATTTGAGGGGAAGTGTTGATTTCAATTTTTCCATTGAATTGGTTCAATAATATTACGCTTGCATCTTCTACCGTAGGGACTTGGTGACCATTGGTTGTCGGGCAAGTTGAATTTAAACTATTAATTATTCTGGTTATACAAAGTTTCTTACTTAATTTTACTAGATTTTTTTCTTTACATATTGTTATATCATTAAAAGATTCGCACATATTTTTTATTCCATATAATAAATTTTTTCCTCTTAATACTTCTCTAAATTCAGTTTCAATTAGAATATTATTTGACTTTTTTACAGGTCAAACGACGAAGATGCAATAAGCCTAACAGAAAACGGCGGCATATTGGAAGTCGGCGATTTGGGCGAAAACGCAAACGTGGCAGGTGGCTACAGAACGCGGAATCCACGACACCAATTACGTGGAACAATATGGCAGGAGTCGAACCCTTGCCCAATGCCCTAATCGATGACATCGAGGCGTATATACAACAACCACATCAGCGGCGGATGAGGCGATCATTTAAACGCCATATCGAGGCGTAAGGATCACACGTACGGGCCTGGTGCCAATAAGTCTCGCAGCGGGAAGTGAGGGGAGGGTGTAGGGACCCCAAAATCTAAGGTTTTTGGAGACCTCCCAACACACATAAACTCATATAAAAATATGTTTGAATTTAAATGAAATCTTTGAAATTTTAAATATATATATATGCACCGAGCGTAAAAATTGCAACATCAAAGGCTGCATAAAGAAACAATACGAACTGTTACATCTTAGGCGACAAGAAACGACAAATGGTCAGAGTTCCACGGAAGCTATAAGAAGGCGGAAAGCTCTCAGCAGTGCTGTAGTTTCAAACTCTAGCAAGTTGCTGTATAAAATATTGCCAACACAGTTGTATGCCAATGGTCAAGTCATAAATAGTTCTGGTCTCTTCGATAATAATTCAGCAATATCAATGATTAACATAGAGTTAGCTGATAGACTCGGTCTTGAAGGACAGAAAGATAAGTTTACGCTGCAAAGGTTGGGGGCACTACGGTTACGCAACAGTCCAGCAGGGTCGATGTACTGTATATCTGGAGTCAGTCGTTTCAATAGAAAGTTTTTATTGCGGATCGTCAGGACTGTAGCCAATCTTCAACTCCCAGCACAAACTCCACAGCAGAATCGCCACTTGTCGATCAATAGATGGAGCTGTACCGGAATTGTTAATCGGGTAAGATAAAGCACACTCAGGAATTTTAAGAAAGACTATGTAAGGACCCCAAAATCCGAGGCTTTTGGAGACTTCACAATACACATAAGCTTATCTAAAAATACATTTGAATTTAAATGAAATCAATTATAGTACATATATATATATTGTACATAGTTTACTTAATATTATATAAATAAACCTGTTTACTTAAATTATAAAAATTAAAACATAGAGATGCGTTATATACATACGTTGAAGCCAATGAGCATGTTCGAACATGAATTTATTTGTATGAACAAACATATGTACACATAGAATAAGTGGAAACCTGTACGCAGCAATAAATTGTTATTATAAAATAACATTCTGCCGGTGCGTAGAATAGTATAAAAGGCGAGGAAAGTGCGAAGGAAATTAAGTAGCCTTTGTGTTATCGTTAGGTATACTTGCCCGTGGGATCAACACCACCAGCAAACGTAGTGTCCCTGAGGGTTTTCACCTCACGAACACTTATTTATACTCCACTGAGGGTTCTCACCGTACTGGAAAAGAAGCTAGTAAAGGGTTTTCACCTCCACAACCCATACGAGAAGTAATAAATGTCGTAGGGATATATTAGAAATCTGGTAAGTATATATTGTTTATAACGTAATAAATTTGTTGTAACGAAAACAGCGTGTTGTTGTATTAGGATAACTTTGGCAAGGCTGAGCTTACCCCAGCCAAGCGGAAAAGTCCGTTACAACTGGCGCCCTAGCAGGGACCCTTAAGTAAAAAGAGAACTCTAAAGTAAAGAAAAAGACATCAGGCGAGATAACGAATTAGCCATGGTCAAGGTGACATGGATGTACTACCTCACTCGAGAGGAACTACTGAGGAATGCAGAAAAATTTGGGTTCGAGGACCACGGAACAGTAGAGGAGCAGTGGAAAAGCTTTGCGAGCTTCATCCAGACTCAAAACGAAGGAGAAGGCATACAAAGACGCTTAACGGAGTTAGCTCTCCGAAATATTCGGCCAACTATCACGCGAAGAAAAAGAAGTACGTACCAGCGACGCCATCATGCTACGATTATGGACAAAGTGCGGAAATGAGGATTTCGCTACGACGTCGGTAAAAATCCCTTGGGATTTATCGAGAGGGTAGAAAAATTAGCGGACGGGTACGATATTTGCCGTACTTCATTCCCACGAGCGCTACCACAGCTACTTAAGAACAATGGTTCAGGAACAACAATCGGCACTGGCAGGAATGGGACACTTTCAAGAGGGATTTCCTGAAGTTCTTCCTAAGCTCGCGATACTTCGACGACCGGGTGAGCATTTTAAAGATTACGTCCTCGTGCTACAAGGACTTATGCGGCACGCAAACTACACGGCCGAAGAAAAGCTGAGCCGCATATACCGGGATTCTCGTCGATAATTTCAACTCTACCTCAAACGAAGTGAGTTCAAGAGTTTGGAATAACTAGTGGACTTGGTAGAAGATTTCGAGAATCTTCCTCCCGAAAGAGAGCCCTTAAAAGCCACAGCACGCCCATTTGTACCTCGACGACCAGAAGAGTGGTACCAGCAAATGAACTATGAAAGAGAGCAACCAAGGAGGTTTGAGGGAGCTGCAAGACCAGATCGAGCGAACGGGTCAGAGCACTACTAGCAATTGCGTGAAGACCGAAACCTGAGCACCGCAAGAGAAGTAGAGAGCCAACCAGATCAGCAAAGGAGGTACATTTCGCCCACGGCTGTCGAAGTTCAAAGATATAATTTTGTTGGAAGTGTGCACGCTGTGGAGTGCACACCCAAAATTGCTGTGGAGTACACACCCGAATTGCTGCGAAAACGACTAGGAGCCTCATCCGTATCGAGGGGTGGGGTCCACAACACTCCCTCGAGAGCAACAGTGGCACTAAAGCTAACACAAGGCCGGATGCTGGCCAAGGTGACCATGAACGGCAAGAAAATAGTAGCGGCAATAGATACCGGAGCAACGAGAAGTTTCATGAGCGAGGAAAGAACGAAACGGGAGATGGAATGCGCAAGGACGTCGAGTAAGCAGTAAAAGCAGAAGTCAAGTTGGGGAACGAAGTACATCACTGCGAGTTACTTGTTCTACCAGGCCTGGTAAATGAAATGGTACTCGGGACGGACTGCCTCGCGAAGACCAACACACAGTTGAGATGCGGCGGAGAATCACTAAGATTTAGGGTCGACAGAAGAGAAGACGAGATAGCCACGAGCACCGCCATAGTTGAGCATAAATCAAAGGAATACACGGCCTCAGAAACCACCTAAACCTAAACCAAACCATACTACAAGCAGGCAACCCAGCGGATAAGAAAGTGAGTGAGTTGCTGCAAAGTGAGTTGAAACAATTTGAGGAGATGTCAGGGCCGTCCAATGTCGCGACATATAAAATAATCGTGCGAGACGATTGACCAATAATGCAGAGGGACTTCTCCAAGAACCCAAAGATTGAAGAAGTCATCAACAAAGATATCGAGGAACTACTTGAGAAGAGCTACATCGAACCATCCCATGGTCCGCACAGGGCACCAATAGTATTGGCAGAGAAGAAAAACGGAAAGTGGAGACTCTGCGTCAACTACCACCAAGTGAATGCCAAATCCGTTCGAGAGGCCTACCCGTAAGAAAAGCCAACCTCCGTATCAACCCCGAGAAGTGTGAGTTTTTTTTAAAAACGAACTGAAGTATTTAGGCCGCGTAGTCAGGGAGAAGGGCATCCATACGGACCCGGATAAGGTAGCTGCCATAAGAGAGCTCACACCCCCAACATATCAACGAGAGCTCAGACGATTTCTGGGAGTAGCATCATGGTATCGAAGATTCGTCCACAACTTTTCACGAATGTCGCATCCGCTCACATCAATGATGAAGAAGGGCAAAAAGTGGGAGTGGTCCGAGGAACAACAGTCAGCATTCGGAGCTCTGAAAGCCGCCCTCACACAAGCACCGGTATTGGCCTGTCCGGACTTCACAAAGAGGTATACGTTTAACACAAGAGTTAGAGTGTAGCGAACGAATAATAGCATATGAGAGCCGGAGACTAAATAAANAAATTGTTATTATAAAATAACATTCTGCCGGTGCGTAGAATAGTATAAAAGGCGAGGAAAGTGCGAAGGAAATTAAGTAGCCTTTGTGTTATCGTTAGGTATACTTGCCCGTGGGATCAACACCACCAGCAAACGTAGTGTCCCTGAGGGTTTTCACCTCACGAACACTTATTTATACTCCACTGAGGGTTCTCACCGTACTGGAAAAGAAGCTAGTAAAGGGTTTTCACCTCCACAACCCATACGAGAAGTAATAAATGTCGTAGGGATATATTAGAAATCTGGTAAGTATATATTGTTTATAACGTAATAAATTTGTTGTAACGAAAACAGCGTGTTGTTGTATTAGGATAACTTTGGCAAGGCTGAGCTTACCCCAGCCAAGCGGAAAAGTCCGTTACAACTATGGCCGATGGAATGAACGGGTATTCGGTAATACTAACAAAGCTTGGCTGAATCGTGGGAAAGATAGAGGTATAGGGAAAGGTATCACCATGTAGATTTTGCCCACGTCGACGATAGTATGGAGAAGCTCGAACGTTTGTTTAACGAAAACATAATAAACGAAGATCTTGGGGTGCGGCAACGTGTGCAGGATCATGAAGCTACTGCTACTGCGGTACAGAGGGCTAGAAGGCTACTTGGAAATTCGACCTTAAGAAAGAGTGCTCACTTCGAGACAGGTTCACTTAGAGAAGATAATGTGGAACTTCCGACCAAAGGCAGAAAATGGATTGTTGTATTTAGAAGAGAGGTTTAATCGCAATATTGGCCTGAAGCCAGCATATGTTCAGGCGTTAACAAAATACGAAGAGAGAGGATGAAATAAAGCCAGTTCGTAATTATCTGGTATCTACCTAATTTTTGAGTTTTGATTCCGCGCCGAAGATCACGCAGCACAGCGTTTTTTGTTTAGAACAGACCCAAAGCAACCCATATATATGCTATGAATGTTATGACGTTTGGGGTAACATGTTCACCGTGCTCGACTCAGTTTGTAAAGAATAAGAACATGGAGGAGTTTAAAGAACGGTTTCCGGGGCAGTCGACGACATAGATATAAATCATTACGTCGACGATTTCGTCCACTGTTTTCCCACTGAAAAAAAGGAATTCGATTAACAGAACAGGTAGCATACGTACACAAGAGAGGAGGTTTCGAGCTGAGGCGATTCGTATCCGATTCTAAGCGGTTAACCACGCATACATATGAACGTGGAGAAAACGCTCACTAGAGCCAGGAAACCAACAAAACACGAAGTATTAAGCGTTTCCGTAGCGGTATTCGATTCGTCACAAATAGCTGGAGAATACATTCTGGAAGTAAATATTCTCATCCAGTACACTTGGCGTGCATGCCTCGGTTAGGATGAATGTATTCAAGAAGAAGCGTGAAACAAATGGCTTAGCTGGTTAAAATCTATCCAGCTTTTGGAGGAAGTGAGCGCACCGCGGTGTTACGCCGCAGTAGCTTACTGGAGGTTATCGTCAGGCATCGTTCAAGTCATGTCTGTAAGTAGAATAGGGTATAAAAAGATCAGCATCAGCAGTGATATGACACCTCTGTTTGTGCCAATGATGACTAGATACGAAACTCTTTATTCCGAGAGCGCTCAAAAATCCACATTTTTTATAACATTTCAGAATGTACCACTGTGGTAGAAAAATTACGTATTTGGATTTTTTGGTATATTTTGGGTCTTTATTACAAACGACGGCGGCTATAATAGCAATTTCACTAAAATATTTTATTGAGAAACAATTCAATATTTAATTATATTAAGTTTTCATAATAAAATTACAATAATTTCTTTAATTTTTTTTGCTGGAGCAAACTTCTTTTGAAAGAAAAATAATGGATTTTTTTTATTGGCATAGTAGCACTGGTGCGTTTTGCACATCAGATGTTGAATGTTCCCCGATCTGACACTGCTGCCAACATTAGAATGTGAGATCCCATCTCAACGCTCTCAGCTGCAATTTGAGTGATTTTGAGTAAGTATCGTATCTAGTCATCTTTGGTTTGTGCTGTCGTAACTAGAGTATGCCTATAGAAGTATACGGGGTGACGTGTACGCG